TCGTCGAGGGCGTGACCAGATATGGCGGGGAGGCGACAGCAGGGGAAAACAGAGCAGGGCGAGGCGAGGCAGGTGCGGAGAAGGTGAGCTGAGCGAAGTTCCGACGCAGCGTCGGGGGTGACATTATGGTTACAAGATACAATCTCAGCGCCTGTGGGACTTTTTTAAGTCCATGTCTTCGAGCTGAGACCCAAGAGCGTTTAAGGATCCCAGGCAGGGCTTGTCAAAAATACGATCTCAGCGCCTCTGGGACTTATTCAAGCTAATGTCCTGGACCCGAGACCCAAGAGTGTTGACGGGATCGGATTCCTGATTTCATAGAATAAAAGTTTGACATCAGAGCCATTTGTTTGCAGAATAAAATTAAGGGCATAACAGCACCTCTCGTTAGTTATGAAAGATGAAAACTCTGCTACAAACCGCTAACAGGTGACGCACATCGTGTGGCTTCGTATCAGCCACATTCGTCTTGGCAGCTCTAATCTCTTTCTGGGTAGCTGTAGCCATAACCATAACCATAATGTAAGCATATAATTCGCATCCAGAAACAAAGAATCTGTGGCAATTCTATGAGAAGCAAGATTTAATTTGCGAACGTACAAGCTCGAGGAACGAGCAGCAATACCGTATGATCCTTATAATATATGTGTCAATAATGTCAATACCACAAAAAAAGGAGAATCGGCTCAAAGGCCGACAAACATGCATAGGGTCACGGCAAAAGCAAATGTGGCCCGAGGAAGAAAAAAGGCCTCCTCATCAAGCTAGACAAAAAGAAAGGACAACAGGGCTGAGTCATAGATGCGCACAGGCCAGGCTGCCTTCGCGCAGGCGATGGTCCTGAAGCAGGAATATTCTTTCGGCTCAGAGTAGGCACACGCCAAAGCGATGTCGTCGTTGCCATGAGTGGGCGAGACCAAGACAAAAAGGACTGAGAACCGCATTCATTAATAAACTCACACATTATGGCCGCAAAAATGCTGCACATGCTTTCAGGTAGTCATAACCATACCATCCATAGCCTCCTCCACATCAAGCAAAAAGTGCGTCTTTCAAAAAAGAGTGGTCCTGTCAGATCATTGACAATCAAAGGAAAACACGCGAACCGCAGCATGAAAAATCCATAGTTGCTGGCAATGATCACAGTTCATCCCATCACCACGGTTTAGGACGCACATAACCATCACTTTGCTCAAGCGATTGATCTCTTGGGCCAGCAGCAGGGTGAGTAGAGGTTCCCGGATTGCCATCGGAGCCGCGATGGTGGGAATAATGGAAGATGAGATGGTGCCTCTGCTTGCTATAACACAATGAATCACACTTGTGCTCGAGCACATCAGAGAGCTGGACAATCTTTGAATTATAGAATTTAACGTGCTCTGCGCCAGGATTGACACATTGAGCTGACAAAAAGGGACGCATCGGTTAGCCATAATGGAATAGAACTACTGTGAGAGGGATGGGAAAAAATAGCTGCAAAGACTCTCGTACTCTTGCTAAAGACGCGGTTTCTCAAAAGGCCCGGGTTATTTTTTTCGAATTTCTCGTCTTCAGCAACCACTATGAAGCAAAGAAGGAAAAGTCGGTTGTAGGTAAATAATGACGTCTGATCAGTACGCTTGCTCCCCAAATTTCGGACTATTTGGGATACTTCGATGCCTTTTACCATAAGAATTGCCCCCGGGATGACGTACCGAGCTTCCAGCACCACTCCACAGGAGTAAGTCCCTAGTCAATTAGAAAAGAGTAAATCGAAGTTAGTGATTATTGACCACTTTAATGGACTTGCTTGCACCCGGTGAGCATGAACAACCAGAGCAGTGCTTCATAAAATGAACAGCCATAAGAGATGTGATCAAGAATGTGCCCACTCGGGGCGCTGATAAACGCACTGGCTTCGCCAAAATTGCTTCCTCAATAGTTTTGCATGGGTACTCCACAGACGCGTCATTATGACTCTCTCCAAAGAGAGGCGAAAAGTGCGAATATGCTGAGACAAACACACAATTAGGTTAGTACCACCCACCGACCTGGGAATTCAAACAGACTATCGAGAGAGCCTGTCTCGGATATGGAGAACAAATAGAAAAGTAGACTCATACGCACCATTAAGATCCTGCGAGGTATCGGACTTGCCATCACGCTTGGAGGCCGCTTTCTTTTTCGCAGGATCGACATTGTTCTCGGTTTTCTTGGAAGATGGCTTCTTCTTGTTACTATTATTCTTAACGTAGAAATAACGTGCTTTGTTTTCTAAACAGCCATGAAGGTCAGTTGTGGTTATGGAGCGCATGGCAAGAAGGCCAATGTTTTTCAATTCCATGCGCTGATATGGGGCATCGGCTGTGTTTAGGCGCTTCATCATAATACTGAGCGTACCATCGGTGGTCATGGTGTCTTGGTTTGATCGAGAAGGTCGTGGTCAAGGGCAAGAAAGAGGAAAGGGACAAAATGAGCTGTTTTGAGCAACAGGTAATTTTTATCACTACACTGTCATTCAGGCAATGCCTCGGGTACGTCCTACCTGTCTCACACCGAGCCGTCTTTTATAGAAACCCACACAGGAGACGACGTACCCCTCTCGTATTTGCACAATCCCGGAACTGCTGTCCTTCAGGATTGGTTGAATTGGCCAGGATAGTTAGAGCGCAAATCATCTCTCAGCGCACAATACCCCCCAGTCCCAACCATAACTATAACGAGGAGCGTCTTTATTTCCTGGAGCCTGTGCGCTCTGAGCTAGCTGCTTTTCGACACCCCAAGCGCTCTGGATACGTTCGGTCTTGAGGATTACAAATATTCTCAGGACTGATGGTTCTTAGAAAAAGGGAGGTACTTTCCCCGTTGCGGTCGATAAGATTCCTGAGCCTTAAACTGAGTGCCATTTGCCGCACAGAGTTTGTTCATTTCCCCGGCGAAAGGGCATCTGTAGAGCTCTCTTCTCAAGGGCTATTTTCCTCGCGCTTCGCCGTTCCTGCGGCTAGATTGGCAGCTTGCTGCGCTACTTTCCCCTAATTAGCCATAATAGCAAACTTTATATCTCCCGATATGTGATGCAGTCGTCGGTCCAGTTTGACCCTCTCAAAGGGAGTAGCACGAGTATAGGACATCGATGTGCCGTAATGACCTCTGAACGCCCATCCCGAGATACTTCATCACGATGGCAAGAATAGCTCACGTCTCCACCACTATGTCAGTATTAGACTCAGGAAGGAATAATGCTCGAACAAAACTTTTTCACTTCTCATCAATACATTAGACCTAAGCACGTACCCGAACAAAGGTTTACTCATACACACACATACACACTGATGGACATTTAGGTGCGCACGCGTACTTATGCCGTCTGCTAAGAGGTCGCTGAGGCGTCAACATCCAAGTCAGAGTATCAAGCGCAAGAAAAACCTGACATGAACAAGAGCCTGGCATGTTGTCTAAAACTCCGAGAGAACAACAAACTACAAGAGCGGAAACTCTATCTCTTCTGGGCTTTTTCACGGCATCACCGGTATGGCCCACTCGGAAGGGCGCAGCTTGCATAAGCTGATGTCCCATACGCACCTCAGAGGGGCTTTAATAATGAAAAATGAAAACTTATAACACTGCTTTCGTGCATGCTTTTTACCTTCTCTCTACCCCTCCCACCCTCCCTCCCCCGCCGCGTGGGCGAGCACCTGCGTATACCAGATGTCGCTAGACGTATAGACGATGTGTTGTGCTGCCGGTCCGAGAGCCCCTTTAGAACCCCGGCCATTTGAGCTAGGTCGTTCTTGTTCAGGGGTTGTGGTCGGGTAGGTGGTGGGGAAGAAGGGGGCTGGACTCCAGTCCGCACCACTCCTTACCAACGCACGACCACCCCGTCGAATCCATAACGAATGCCAGCGCCACAACACCTTCCTATGGATTCGTAGACATATGCATGATGGACCTTCAGACAAGTTACAGGCCACCCTCAGGCGCCTCACTAACACACCATGCACATTTGCAGATGTTTTCCTCTAACATCGTCACGCATGCGCCACTGTTATGAGAAATGATACAACAGCCTCCTCCTTCTTTCCAAGTAGTCGGCGGTTCCCAAAACTTCATCAATGGAGGCTTTACTCTCCGCTGGAAGGCGATGTGACTATGTCAACCACTAGCTAAAACACGACCACGCGTAGGCTGACAAGCTGTACGCTGCACGAAACAGAATTTCACCACCTCGCCCAAGCGCGGCTTACCTCCTCTCCCAGCGCCTCCTCTTTTGAAGCGAGAACGCTGGAAAAGTGCGGCCGTCATGGGGCGGTCGGGCCTCTTCAAGTGACTGACTCTTCATTACCCCGACCCTCACAAATGGCCATCACTTCACGCGCTCAAAGCTCGTTTGTCCGCTTGACCCCACATTTCGTACTCCCTCGAGTTTGGAGGCCATCACTTGGCTCGAGGCTGAGGCAATCCGGAAAGATTAAAGCCCACCACAACATGCCGTCAGAACTCAAAGCACAGCCAAAGACTGGCTTCCCAGAAGCCCCTCCCCCAACCCAATAGTATAACAACTCGACATGTCGGGCGAATGCCCCTTAGGGTCCTCCTTAAAATACCCCGTAAGCCCTGCACGATTCTTTCCCACACTTTTATCCATATTTCCAGAAAGCCCATGTTAGGCTCATCCACTACCCACCTCGAGTCCGGGCACGTTATGACACTCCCATGGATTCCTCGATTGAGATTTCCCATTGCTCACACTTTGTCACCCTAAATGTTGGAACAATGTGCGGGCCAGGACCCTCTCTGTCAAGCCATCATCACCCTGTCGCTCCAACCACAAAGTGGCAGAGCTACCAAGATTTCTGCAATCCTCTCTTTCACAATCTAGTGTCACGCTTTGCCGACTCACTCCGAGTCACCCGCGCCTGCCCGCCCTGGAGCAACGAACCCGGTGCCAGTGCGCTGGATCGCCGCGTTCACATATGGGGCCCCCTCAGCGGGACAGAGCGGCTGCATGGGCCCATCGCACACCCCGCCTCCCAGGCACGTCGGGAGAAGGGGTCCCGGCTTCGGCGAAGCCTCTGCGCCCCGTCGGGCGACACTGGGCCCACGTGGCAGGCAGATGGCCTTCGTGTGGTCCCCGCCCCCTGGCGGGTCGTTCGCCAAGGATGCTCGCCGGGGCGCAGGGGCTTCGCCGAAGCTGGGACCCCTTCTCCCGACTTGCCCGGGCGATCGACCGCCGGGGCCACCTCGGGGAATCCTCGCAAACACTTGCCCTATCCCCGCCCACCCGCTTCACATCCGGCCCAATATACTCAAACCAGCCCACACGGATGTCAAGCCCGAAAGCCCCCTCGGCCCACGCGCTGATGTCCTCAGCCGGCACCACGGACCACCGACAGGCGACCCGTGTGCCGCCATGGGCTTAGTCGCTCCCGGGGGG